AAATGCCTACCCTTGAAAGGAAAAGGAGATCAGGATACAATCTCTTACTCTATTCCAGAAAGAAAACATTTTCTTTTAAAAATAATTTGTCAGTTGTCATCTCCCGTGCAACTCTGGCTCACTGGACAACAGAGAAGAGAATAGCACTGTCCCACACTTCCTAGATACCAAGAACTTTCCAATCATCTCATAATTTGCTTATTAAATCCCCATGATCTATAGTGTTTTCATGACTATACAAATGGGGCAACTGAGAAATACAGTAACTTACTCCTTGTTGCAAAAAGCTTACATTTGTCTCATGGCCAGTTATGCACTTGCCATTCTCTATCTACAAAACAACACAAACACACATGAATTTTTTTTAACCTGATATCATTATGTACTTACGTATTTGGTGAACATGTTGTCAGTTTTCCCAATAGTGACGTTATTCAACAGGATTTCTGAAACTGTATCAACTCCCTCAAATATCAAATTTATCATTTGCCATTTGCTAGGAAAAGAAAACATTTTGAAAGCAAAATGCATAAACATTAACTTACAAAAGTCTTTTTGTAATTAAGAACTAAAGAAATATTTCACAGAAAATGTACATTCTTAAACAGTAATTTTCAACAGAAGTATCAGGAATATTTGTTTAATATTTATTGCTATTTTTTGTTTAATATTTGTTGCTATTTTTTGAGTAATCCAGTTCATCATTATCTATAATATATCTATAAATCACCATAAAATCCAGCACAACTTATAATTTCCAACTGCATCGTTTTTTCTTTCAGTTACTTCACAAAGTTCTTACGAGAATCAAGTTAAATAACAGACACAAAACATTTTCGCAAACTATTACATTCACTGACACTACCTAAGAGAATGTATTAGCTACTAATTTGTATCTCTAAGTGAATGCTATGTGCCCAGTACTATGCTAAGCCTCGCAGGAACATGCTCTGAACTTAAGGAGTATGAAAGCTGGCTAGTATTCAAGCCAAATACACAGGAAACAAAAACTTCCAATCTATCCTACTATGTAGTAGAGCCAGAAACAACTTAGGCACTGAAGACTGGAAAATTATGCTTCATTAAGAGAAATAACAAAGCCATTAGGACATAAAAAATTTTTTTAAGAGGGAATATCAGTTGGTTGAATTTTGGATATGTAAAGCTCAAAGTGAAATAAGACTGCTCGGGAGGTGTTATAAGTCATTTGAAAATAAAAGCCTGGAGCCTAGTAACTCCATGATACTAAGCATGATACTAAGTTTTGAATTAGTTTTTTAAGAGACTAGAAAATAATTACCAAAAAGTTTCATATAAAGGGGACAGAAAATTTTTAAAATTTAATAATAATGGTGGTGTATATACTTAAATTACATTCTTCTTTATATAGAAATATATGCTTATAATAACACAGAGCATTACTGAAAATAGTAACTGTAGTTCTCTTCATGGCTTCATAACATGGCATAAATCCAAGGTCTTAGTCTCAGTAGCTGGTCAGCACCACACAGAACAAATCAAGTATCTCTGATTCTATTTAACAATGCTATAAAATGCATACATACACTTATTGGTTACTGGGGAGAGGGTGGAGAAGAGGAAATTTACATAGGAGAACTGACGAGGTCTAAGTGACTTCATTATAATCATTGGACAAATGATTCCATAAAACATGATTTCATGATTAATGATCAGTGGCAAACACAAAACATTAATCACACATTCACTCTTATTATAGTAAAAGGCTTTAATCTGACTTAATTCTCTGATATACAACCTAAGCAAAGGTAAAAGAAAGCTCAAATAATAACTATAGTATATGTACAAATAACTATTGTGTATGTACCTGCTATCAAAAGGAATTTTAAATTCCTTGCTATAAATCCAGTTATCCAAGGAAATCCATCTGTAGTTAAGGTCATTAAATCCATAGTAAGGATCCTGTTGACAAAAGATAAAAATTATTGTAGACAGCTAAGTATATAAAAATAAATCAATAAAACAAATTTCTAACAACAGTTATTGATCACCTAAAAATTAATGAGCTCTTGGCCTAAGAGCACAAAAAGGTCAGATGGTTAACAATGAAAAATGTGGAAGAAAAAAATTCCAACAAAACACCTGAAAATGGAAACGCTCTGAGATATAAATAATATGGTTTAATTATCAAAGAACGTGGGGAGACTAAGATTGGTAGCACTTGTTAAAATCTGACAAAACCTCTAAAGTATTGGTAGAGACTGAAAGACAGTTTTGACAATAGCCAGCACTCTCAAGGCCTTTTAGTTCTCATTTTGCTTGTTGCTGCCACTACCTCACTGGCCTCCAGGGGGCACACTTCTCTTCTACTGCCCAAAGGTCAGTAAAACTCCCATTCTTTGGATTCCTTTATTATTTCCAAAGTTAATTTTTTCATTAACTTTACTAAGTGGCACACAAATTATGTCTATAGAGAACACACAGCACACATACAGACAGTTTAACTTACAAACAGAAGGTTTCCTATATTATCCTTGATCAGATATGCAAACTGCTACCCACCAGCCAAATGCAGCTCCCTGCCTGTTTTGTGTGGCCAGCAAGCTAAGAATATGTCCATATATGAAAGTTTCATTGGCACTCAGACATGCCTGTGCCTTTACATATTATATACGATTGTTTCATGCTGCAGTGGCAGAGCCAAGTAGAGGTGTCAGAGACCATATGGCCTCAAAAGTAAAAAATGTTTATTATCTAGCACTTTACTGAAAACACTGGCCATCCCTTGCCCAAGACTAGCCTCCTAAGTGTTCACATATCTTGATTCAGTTTATCTGGCCCCAAGTCCTCCCTTTAATAATCTCCATATCATTCTTTCCCTACCCATTTTCCACCTTTGACCTTTCATAAAAGGGCTCCCAGGCAGACAGCAGAACAGACAGTAGTAAGTGAAGCTTTTCAGTTTGTCTGTGAACATCACCGTGGCTGCAGAAAAGAAAGCTGTGTGGGCACAGAGGGACTCCTCCCATCATCACGGACAGGGTCAGGGGTTATTAACTTAGGGAATACAACTCCAGATGGAGGAAAAACCAACTTTGTCTAGGTTCCACAAAGGTAAGAGCTAAATGACCTGGTTAGGGTAGCAGTGGCCAGCTGACAGCTGTCCTGGACACCAATCTGTCAGAGGCACTAGAGCATCACTGAGTATGTGTGTATCAAGATCAAGATAGGAGCAGTCAGCCACAAACTACTCCTAAATGGAAGAAATGTTTCTATAACCTACAGGAGAGAGAGTAAATAACGACATTCAATAACAACTGGTAATTATCAAACTGGTTTTTTTTTTTTTTAGTAGCAGGGATTAAATCCAGGGGCACTCAACCATTGAACCTATTTATTTATTTATTTATTTATTTATTTATTTTGAGATAGGGTCTCACTAAGTTGCTTAGGACCTCACTAAGTTGCTGAGCCTGGCTTTGAACTTGAGATCCTCCTGCCTCAGCGCCCCCGAATGCCACCACACCTGGCTATCAAATTGATTTTTAAGTTCTGGTTAATGTTAAGGTTTTATTCTGTTAAAAGGTGTGTGTCAGGCCCAATTAACTTGCCTCTTTTCCTTCTCACCCCACACACAGGACTCAGCCTCTCCAATGAATAAACATGGAACAAATATTTAAGGACACAGGTTTGAAGAGGCACTTAATTGTTAACTTAGCCAAGTGTCTCTACCAGACCCCTATTTATAACTCTACATTGTGGACTTAGTCCAATACAGTTAAAAATATCATGAGAAGTAAAGTGTGAGAGCAACTCTGCCACAACACCTCAACACAACAGGCCCGGGGCTGGCTGGCCATCTGGCTGTCAAACCTCAAGTCCCCATCCTGTCTTCCAGGTCCTAGGAGGAAGCTGCATGTTCAGTTCAAGAGGGCAATCTTTCTAGGTACATTTTTTCATATACAAACAGAATTTACAGGTTAAAATGTTTCTCTGACTTGAGAGAACCCAATCTGAGAAATCTTCATACTGTATAATTGCAAATACATGACATTTTTCAACAAAAATCTGTCTGGAACTGAGCTCCTGCCCTAGGCCCCAACAGACCAGACCAGACCAGACCAGACCAAAATGGCATCACTCATGTGAAATGCCATATAATCAAACACAAACTTTAAGGAAGCAGGTAGATCCCCAAACAGACCAGGTTTTTCTAAAAACAGGGTATTCCAGTTCATGGAATTTAGCGTAATAAAGAAGTCCTCTCTGCTTTAACTCTTAAAAGAAAAGGAACCCAACATGGTTTTTTTTCTATTATCTGTTTGCCTGTTGCCATCTTAAAACCTCCTACTGTTCCGCCAATGAGTGGGAGGTCTCATTCCTTTTTAGAGAATGGAGGTGGTTCTGGTTCATAAATTGTGAATAAAACCTCACTGAACCTTTAAATTTGTTGTCATAATTTTGTCTTTTAACACAGAAAAGGCAAAACTACAAGAGACGGTAAAAGGATCAGTGGCTGCCAAGGGTTGAAAGGGAAGGAGGGATGAATAGTTGGAACACAGAGGATGTTTAAGCAGTGAAACTATTCTGTGTCATTCTATAGTGGTGTATATGTGCCATTATACATTTGTCCTAATCCACTGACTGTACAACCAAAAGTGAGCCCAGATGCAAAGTGTGGACCTTGGGCAATAATGATGTTTCAGTGTTGGTGCATTGATTGTAACAAATGCACCACTTTGTATCACTCTGGTGGAGAATGTCCATAGGAGGGAAGCTGTGCTGGTGTGGTATAGGGAACACTCTGTACTTTGCATTCAATTTTGCTCATGATCTATAACTGCTCTATAAAAGATAGTCTATTACAAATTTTGTTCTTACTAAGGAAAAATACCATATAAAACAGTTGCAGAGGCTTAGATTGCATTTATAATAACTACTCCAAATGTTAATCAACCAACTTTTTAGTTCCAGATTGATCCAACCCCCTAGAATCATATTAAAATTCTGAGTCCTATTTAAAGCAAACAGCAGCTCAGTGTTAACTTTTAATACTGAGGACCCAGGTATATCACCGAGCTATTAAGCAAACCCATGAACCCTAAGACCAATAACAGTATTATTGCTGACCATGTACTGTATATCACCCTCCAAACAGGCACTCAGATATTCTTATCTTCACAATAAACACATACAGTAAATATCATTTTACAGAGGAAGAAACTAAAGCTCCAAAAGCTGAAGTGTCTTTCCTGAGGTCCGGTAACCAAGCAAAAAGAAACCAGCTTAGTCTAACACCATTTCTTTGGACTAGATTATATGCTTCATGTCACATTTACTTACACTCTTATGTCAGATGACATCTGCAACATTCATAATCATAGCTAAAAGTTACTGCCTGTGACCCTACCAGGTAGGTACAATTATCATTCCCATTTACTCACAAAGAATTCAAGGCTCAAAGGCAAGCAGCAATCAAATTATGGAGCACTGACTCAGACCTAGGAAATGTGTCTCAGAGTCCACACACGTAATCATTACCTAGTAGAGCCATTAGTGTCATAAACACCATCAGTAGTTACAATGTCAATGCTATTTATAAAGCACAAACCATGAGATAAATATGGCATGTGTGTGCCTGAGCTGGTTATTTATAATTGATATTTACCCAACTTACAACATATCAACAAACCAGGTATCATCAGCGCAACTAAATGACAGCATTAGTCTCATTTTCTCTGTAAGCTTCTGGCCTCCATTTATTATAGATATATAGACTGGTTATAGATGTACAGACTACTTAACCAGATATAGATATTCCTCCCAAACTCTGCTTTCGCCCAAAGTCTGACATACATTCACATATAACTAGGTCAAATAAAGAAAGAATTTATAACCATTCCATCTTCTGGGATAGTTTGACAAAAATAATAATCAAATAAATGTTAAGAAAACAAGCAAAACTAAGCAATGTATTGATTAAGATACACAGATATTTGGTAAAACCTTAATTTGTAAAAAGTAAGGAAATAATAATTCAGAATAGTAATATATAGCTTGGATATTTTTTAACCCCCTCCCATTATACTGGGGATTGAGTGCTCTACCACTGAGCTACTTTACATCCCCAAGTTTGTTTGTTTGTTTGTTTGTTTGTTTTTACTTTGAGACAGGGTCTCGCTAAATTGCTGAGTCTCATTAAGTTGCTCAGACTAGCCTTGAACTTGTGATCCTCCTGCCTCAGCCTCCCAAATTGCTGGAATTACAGGCATGCACTATTGTGTCTGGCTTAGCTTTGATCTTAAAAGCCCCCAAAATGTCCATATGGTATAAAAGCTTGGTCCACAGCATGGCACTATTGGAAGGTGGTGGACCCTTTAAGAGGGAGCCTAATGGGAAGTCTTCTAGTCATGGTGGGTGTGCCCTTGAAGGGGATGGAGGGGCGCTCAGCTGCTTCTGTCCTTCCTCTTTTTGGCTTCTCAGGCATGAGTTGAGTTGATGTGCTCCACCATGCACTGTCACCATGATGTGCACCACAGGCCCAAAACAACAGGACCAATTGTTCATGAACTGACATCTGCAAAACTGAAAGCCCAAACAAACTTTTTTTCTTTATAAGTTGATTAACGCAGGATTTTTTACAGTGATGAAAAGCTGACTAACACAGTGGATACCCTTGAGAAAGCAGGCAATGAGACTGGGGAGAGGCAAATAACTGCAATGGTATCAGTGATATGCAGGCTTGTAAGTTGGATAGTAGGTACATACTATTCATATCATAAACACATGGCTGGAGATATAATTCAGAAGTACAGTGCTTGTCTAACAATGTGCAAGACCCTTGTTCAATCCCCAGTACTGCCAAAAAAAAGGATAAACCTGTGTGCATATAAATTTCCATGAACTACTTAAGTACTATTATAATAAAAAATAAAGAAAGAAAATGCTAGGGTTGGAGTTGT